AAAAAAAAAAAAAAAAAAAAAAAAAGAGAAAAAGAGGATCGACAGGGCCAAACCGGGCTAGCACTGCCCTATCCCGACCCTCGTGTTCTAATTGTGGCCCGGGCCCTACTTTTTTAAGGGTTGGGAGGTGATCTTGCCCGGAAGCGGTTTAGAGGCACCCGTATCCTGTATTGTTTTAGTTAACTTAACGAGTTATACTTGCACCCAAGTGTGAGGGTGTGGGATTCGGATATTGAGTCCACCGCCACTCTATTCTGGCGTGCCCTGCCTATTGCCTACCTGTACCCTTAATTTGGCTTTTTTTTTTTTTCCTTTCGCTAACTCTTTGAACAGATTGTGAACCATGGGGTGTCAGAGGAGTTGAAGGAAAGCATGCTCCATGTGGCAAAGGAATCCTTTGAGATGCCAATAGAAGAGAGGGCAAAGTTTTATTTGGAGGACCCAAAAAAGCAAACTAGGGTTTCAACGAGCTTTAACATAAACAGGGATAGGGTTCGAGTCTGGAGAGATTATTTCAGGCATCCATGCTATCCATTAGAAGACTACATCGACTCTTGGCCTCAGAAGCCTGAAAATTACAGGTATTTTTTCTGAATTTTGCAACTAAATTGTATGTGATCAATTATTTTAGGGTGTGGTTTGTATAGAGCTGAGGCTCTAAACAATCAAAGTAAAATGCACCTTCAAATAATGTCGAGAAATGTAGTTTCAATACTAGAAATCTTTGTGATAGCCTTAAAATATATTTTCATCCTTAATTATAAAATTTAAAGCTTCAAAAATAGTGTTGATCGAGCAGCTATATAAAAACTTGAAAATCTAGAAAATTGACGGTCCAAAAATGCATTACAAGATGCACTATTTCCAAAACTTGAAATCCATTTTTTTTCTCATGTCCATGCATCTTGACGTCGAGATTATCACTTTGAGGATACTTGGGTATCAAAATAACTTCTTCTAGTGAAACTTTTTGAGGTGGGCTCTAATTTGATTGTTTAGAGCCTCGGCTCTATATAAACCTTGTCAAATAGCAGATAGACTATAATTTCCCTCATCTGTTTTTTACTATTTTTCGCGATAATTTGAGTTCCACCAAGTGCATTGAGTGCCCATTAAGCACGTTAGGGACAGCCTACCCATATTGGTAGGATGACAAGGACAACTCTTGATATGTTGTGGAAAACTTTTGTGTTTTCCCATACTGGTAGGATGACAAGGACAACTCTTGATATGTTGTGGAGAAAATTTGTGTTTTCTTGAATGTTATGTTGGAGTTTTGGTGGGAATGGAACTCTAGACGTTATAAGCTAAGGCCAAGCTGCCCTAGATGGTACTTTTGACACTATGTTGCAACCTCAACAAGCACTTGGATAATGTTATTGGTTGGATCACTCATTTGAGAAATTTTCTAGTCCTCAGTTTGCGCTGAAAACATGCAGGGAATCTCATTGAGAAACATAATCCTTAGTACAAATAGATCTCTCCAAGTCCTAATGTCTTTAATGGCAGCACAAATCGGTCTATCCACGCTCCGATAGCTCATCCCTTTTTTGAAATCCACTCCTATGATCATTGTTATTAAGATCCAATTAGACCGCCTAGTTTGACTTGTTAACTTTGTCAGTCTATTCTAAAACGAAAATTGAGTCTGGTTGAAAATTAATCAAAACTGATGTTTGACCAATTGTGTCCTATAAAACCATGATAAGTTAGGCTGGTTAAATAAATTTGAGTAATTTTTTTTGTAATATGTTTTATATTTTTAAATTACGTTTTATTCTTTGAAAACACAATTTAACATATAAGATTTGCGATTGGTTTTGACTCGATCGAACCCTAACAGGTTTGTGGCCCCTCTGAACTCAATCACATTACCAATGATATCCCCCAACTTTTGAAAAAATCCTTGCTTCTATAAAAGGAAACATATACAAATATACTATTTATTTTTAGTACAATAAGGTCACAATCATTGATGTCTGTCAAATTTCATATCAAATAATTGTGAGTGTGTCATTCATTAAAGGACCCGGTTTCTATGTGGCCAAGCCCGTATATGTAGAAATGCGGGCCTGTTAATAAATCTATTTTTGAGATGGATTTTTGGACTTAATTTTTAAGGATATGTAATCTCTAATATGGAATATGAAAAAATAAGTAAATTTTAAAAACTAGAAATAATAATTCTAGTAAGAAAACATTTGAACCATTAGTTTCCATTGTTTTTAGATGGAACACCTACTTGCATCCATCTTTAATATGTTTTACACTTTTTGGACCACATATATAGTCATGTGGTCATGAAACAATTATCCTTCATTAAACTCAAAATTCAAAATAAAAATTTTCGAATTTTTAACACATCCCAATCCATCTAATTTGACATCTAATGGCTAAGAGCAATTATGACTTTCTTGTAAGAAACATAAATAGTCATGTAGTATACAAACCCTTTGAAAAAACTTGTACTTGTTTCTTTCTCCCGTAGATAGAATTTAAATTATTGGCTAAGAGCGGGTTCCCATTGACCTTTTTACCTTAAGCAATCCTAGCCGTCCGATATTAATCAAACGGTACAGGAAAAGTTCCCCACCTTGAGGAATGAGTCTTCTTTAAGTAATCCATGCAGCCATTAACTATTTCTAAAAACGAATGGGGCCTATGGTCCCCGCTAATCTACCAAAAAAAAAAAATCTGAAAAGTGGAAGGCCTGCTTTATTTGAAGTGCACAACTTTCATCGCAGCCCAGAAGAATAGTGATATTTCCACCCTTTTTTTTTTTTTTTTTTTTTCTGCTTTTCATTTTGTTTTCTTTTTTCTGAATGTTTGTTCATTTTATTTCTTTTTTTGGGTAGTTGTCCACCTCACTTCATTTCATCTTCTCATTTAATTATAGCGATAAGATTGATCCTTTTGGATTTATATTGAATGGGCGCCTGCTCTTTCTGTCATTTAATTTGGATTTATATTGAATGGGCAGATACTCCTTCTGTCATTTAAGTTGGATTTATATTGAATGGGCAGTTGCTCCTTCTGTCATTTACCAGGACATGACGTGGGTATTATCATGGCTATACTTTTGGAGGGTAATTTTATATAGGGTGGGTAATTTTATATAGGGTGTGGTTTCTATAAGGTTGCAACTTTAAACAATCCAATTAAGGCGCACCTTTAAGTTTTATCATAAGATATAATTTTAGTGTAAACAATTATTAGGATTATTAGAAATTCTATTTTCATATCTAATTGTAAAGTTTTAAATTTAAAAAATGGTTAAAATCAAGTAGATCTATAAATATATGAAAATCTCAAAAATGGACGATCTAGATAATGTGTTGCAAGAAACACTATTTCTGGAAATTAAATTATTATTATTTTCATATTCATTAATCTCGATGTTGAGATGATCGATTAGAGGCTTTTTCAACATTAAAACAATATTTTCCTATGGATTTTTGAGGTGCTTATGTCATTCTAGTTGCAACCTTGTATAAACTTTTTCCTTTTATATATGGATAAGGTTTATACAATGTGTCAACGTTATATGGCGGTGTTGGAAAAGTATGCTAGTTAGCTCGGACTTGCTGAGTTACTTGATGGCCTGAGCTTGAGTTGTCCCGTTCTAATTTGGGTTTATCAAAATTTTTTAAAAAATTATAAAAATTTTTAAAAATAAAAAATCTATTTGTAATATGTTTTTCTTATGTTTTGTATCATTTTGGCAAAGATTAGAAAGTATTTTGGCCATGAATTTTTATATTTTTCTATCTTTTTGAGAAAATTTTGATAATATCCCTAGTCACAAACTAATTTTTCGTAAACTATTTTTCGCTAATTTTTTAACCGCATTTAGATGTGTTTTGTTTAATTTTACTTTATTTTTGTTTTTTAGCTTTTTTTTTCTACCACAGTACTCAGCCAGCCCTACACTGCGCGAGTTACTCGGACTCGAGCCGAGTACTCGGTTTGGGCAAGGGTCGAGTACTCGCCCCAAGTAGTGGTTTCAAACATTGTTATAAGGCACAAGTGGCAAGGTGCCCCTCAAAAATTAGGAGTGTTTTTTTTTTTAATTGTCAAAAATTTATCAGTGTTATGAAATTATCTAAAATAATCATCTCCACCTCAAGATATATGTTTAGGAAGGGGAAAAAATAATATCAAGTCGTAAAACAGTATATTCTTATAATATAATTTAGGCAATTCATTTTTAAGATTTTGAAGTATTCATAGATCTTCTCAATCTGCATAATTTTTGGAGCTTTAAATTTTATATTTAGGGATCAAAACAGATTTTCAAGTTATTGTACAAGTTTTGACACCAAAACTACATGTTCCGACATGTTTTGGGGTTGCAATATATATATATATATATATATATATATATATATCTATC